ATATCAATCATGTAAAAGCAAAACTGGCTAAGACTATTGCAATATTGGGGAAAGCAAGTCACATTCTGGACTACAAATCATGATATACTCTGTATCATACACTCATATTGCCATATCTGAGTTACTGTGTGGAGATTTGGGGAAACACTTACAAAACCAACCTACAGCCGTTATGCACATTACAAAAAAGGGCTATAAGAATAATCAATAATGTTGGATATCTTGAACACACTAATTCATTATTCTTGAAGTCACACACACTGAAGTTTACTGATCTGGTTAAATTTAAAACGGCACAAATCATGTATAGGCTACAGAGCAATAAATTATCTACTTCCTAGGAAATGACAAACATTGTTCATAGACAGAGAGGGTGGGTATCATTTGAGAGGAAATCTACATTTTAAACAACTCAAGGTCAGAACAACTCTGAGAAGTATGTGCATAACAATCTGTGGGGTGATTTTATGGAATGGTTTGGAGCAGGAGTTCAAACAAAGCACACATATAATTCAGTTAAAAGGATGTGTTGGAAAACTATGAGAATGAAGAAAGGTGATTGAAGATGAGAAATGATTGTAAATGTATGTGTACATGTAAATATGTAAGTAGGAATAACTTGCAGAAATGATTTAAAGGATAATCATTGATCAGCAGTAAGTAAGGGGTGGGGATTAATAAGCCTTTGCTTCCTCCTGCTCCCTTTCGGACACATGATTTATAATTATTATTATTATGAATATTTTTGTTGAATATATACATATTAATATGAACATTTTTGTTGAATATATATATATTATTATGAACATTGATAAATACTGTATTCTAACAATACGGTATTCTGTTTTTCACATTTGTTTTTTTTTATTTGTTTTTTTAATCTGTTTGAAATAAAGATTGAAATGAAAATGTCTCGTCAGTCAAGCTTAATGTGCCTGTCCAGCATTTGTATATCTTTTACTACAGGCTCAACAAATGTTTTTTATTTATGGTTCCCAATGAATGAAATTGGTGTGAATTGTAGTGGTATGAATTGCATTCTGAGTATATCATTTAAAAAAAAAGAAGGCCAGAATGCTTTGTAAAAGGATGGAAATTATTATCAAAATATATGATAGAAAATATAAAAGTATTATTGTAATTGATAATTTTTATACAACTGTAGAATTAAATGAAATACATCAACCACTGTAGAATTATAGTTAGGCATTGAAAAATATGCATAATACTTTATATATATAATATGTGATAGATATATATCATAACAAAGCATTTTATGAAGACTTACAAGGTCAGAAAATGTGTTACTCGCTGACACTGTGTTCAAGATTATTGTATTATAATGCTCATAGTTGTTATACATGATAATTATTTTATAATTTATTATAACCACTGTTAAATTAATTATATTAAAACATGTTTGCTTTTAGTAAAGTAAAAGAAAACATACATTTGTCTAAAACAACAGAGTTGTATATATATATATATATATATATATATTTTTTAAATCAAACATTGACCACTTAGAGTAACAAATAATGCCATTACAATACTTTATAATGAGATTATAATGTATAACAATTTTCTTAATTATAATTCACTGTGACCCCATAAGTCACCAGCAGTAATGACATATTTTGATCCACCATGTCATTATAAAATGATTCATAATGATTATTGTTATAAAGCATTATGAAAATGTATGACCACTTTTAACTATAATTATAGTGCCGTAAGCAAATCATATATGCATTACAGACACAGGCGTAACAGAAAGTGTTAGCAAATCCCTTCTTGCATACAGTTGATGATAAAAATGATGAATGAGGCTACATGAAGGAATCCTAGGAGACGGCTGGTGCTTTGGTCCTCCCAGAGAGAGCACGGACGTCACTGCGTTAGCATGTTGAGTCACCCCTCCACTCCCAGGGCAGGATGACCTCCCACAGTCTCACCTCACTGAGTAAGCTGCTCGCTGACGCCCAATCAGAGGCACCACGCTGTGAAGCTCTCCCTCTCTGAAACCAAGGTTGATGCTGACCAGACCTGCGCCTTATCTGTCAAAACCCCACAGCTGGCCAAAGAGATACAATTGGTGTTTTATACTGATGGTACAATATGCTGCAGTACAGATCACCTCCTGAACTCAATAATTCACTTCACAACAGATGTAACTGCTTTAATTGTCTTTGTTGGATGTCCCAGCTGCTGTATCCTCTTTTTTTATTGTGGTAGTTAAGCAGTTTTAGTGTCCTTTTGTAAAAGGAATGAATGTGAAATCATGAATTTAAACATGACAGTACATGTGTGTGTGTGTGTGTGTTAATGATACATACCCTGTCGAGCCATTACACCCTGTATCCAGCAGATAGTGTGCATGTGCTGTTTAATTACACACAGAGGGGTTGAAGGCATTGCAGATGTGCAATAAAATAAAGTTTCATAGGACTTGAGATGGTTTCAAAAGGTACCACAAATATTTTTTAGGATATCATTGATATATATATTCATATTCATATGTCCACAGAAAAAGGGCAAAGTGCTAAGTCTGCTTTGATTGGGTAGTTGACCGGCTCTGTTGTGATTGGTCAACCGCATAGAGATGTACTGCCCCTTAGCGTATCACGTACAATGTGTTGTAGTGCTAGCCAATAGAAACGCAAGTGTATCTAGTGATGTCACTATGTTCAAAAGTAAACAAAGGAGTCCCTCTGGAGGGAACACAGGGATTTGAGCCTTTGCAGACCACTTACATGCACAAACACCTGTATAACACACTACAGGAGAGGGGGAACCCAAAAAGCTAAATAGGGCTTCAGGTTCCTTTGCTATACCAAACCTTAGAGACTTTTAGACAATAAGGTGTTCTGTTTTTGGCCACATGTTATATACTGGATGTAGCTTCCTCTAACAGACAATGTGACATGTTGTGAATTAAATACCATTTTTAGCCATCTATCGAGCTGTCATGGCTAAAAAGTTATGTTCAGAATGAATGAAGAGGATTCATCTCACTTATGTCTGTTCTTGAATGATATATTTAAAGTAATTAGTGAAGAGAACAATTGTCAAGTTATGCTGGACAAAATAATGACTTCACAATACTTTCATGGTTACCATGGAAATGTGTTCAAAAGTGAACTTTTTTTAAAATGATGGTCAAGCAAGGCACCGGACATTTTTTTTTCTTAGATATTTCTATATAATCAGGCTATATTTCCACTTCTATACGTGTGAGGATATTGAGAATTACCCCATAATTAAAATTCACCACCATCAACTTATTGTTTTTTATCACAATCAAATTCTAAAGTCCCATCCTGGTTGAAAAAATGGATGCAACATAATGCATACAATGATCGAGGACAAAAGACGTAAATATTGATCAGAAAGCATTCTGAAATATTTTACACTTCTTTACCTCAATGGTCACAATTTGTTATGACATTTTATTCACATGAATAACTTCAGTTGCCTCCTTAGAAACCTTCCACAGTTGTGTTTTTGTTATCCTGGCTGGCCTCTTTTCTGTCACATTAAAAACAATAAAACACAGTGAATTGAACTTTTTCCTTTATTTATGGAGAGAAACACATTTTGTCATTAAGACTTACATTTTGTTTGAGCCTACAGACCCAAATAGTCTATTTTTGTATATTTTGAGCTATAAAAGCAATGCTATCCTTCAGAGTGGATTACAATACTACAGATCATCACAACACAAAAAACTTGCTTACAATTTCCCTTTTTTACATCGCAGACACATTGGTCGACTCGAACATGAGACATGTGACCGCTGCATTTCTCAATATTAGAAAGCAGCCAAGTACGTTTTCAAATGTTTCTGTGACTGAACCTGAGCATTATGCGGTATACTGTATATGTACAGTCATGTTCAAATATATTTACCTCTTGTCTGTACACCAAAGATAATAATTTAAATATATGGTAGTGGAACAAGACGTCAAGGGGTCCACGTTATCTGACCACAACTGTTTTTGTGTGTGTGTTTAAGTAATTGCCAGTGTGAACATCAACAATCACTTTGGTCTTAATCTCAGCAATTAAGGGACCAATTAATATGACATCAACATCAGGAAATTAGAACTAGTGTAATTCTCACTACTGTTCATTTCAAACAAACATACTGGACGACCAAATGCAATTACGATTGTTAAATAATTTAAGTCAATAGTAAACCAAATCACAATTCAACACACCTCTGCCTTTTCTACATACAGTTAGTCATTAAGACAACTGTCAGACAGAGTTAAGTATATGACCATTTCTGAAAAATGCTTTTAACGCAAACAGATTTCAATTTGGCAATTTAAACATTGTTTGGAAAATATTTTGTCCATTGAAATATATCATTGCATGACAACTCCTGTGTTGAATCACAATAAACTATATTTGACAAAGCCACCCAAAAAATAGCGTTGGCATGTTTTATTAGGCAAAATATATTCAAAAATATTGAGATTACCATTCATATAGTGTACAGCGTACATGTCAATTCAGAGGAAATAGATGACAGGTTACAACACAGAAATTATCTCATTAACAACTGAAGTAACTGTTACAGATCGCTTTCTATATATATATATATATATATATATATATATATATATATATATATATATATATATATATATATATATATATATATATATACACACACACACACACACACACGTGTGTGACTATGTACAGTGAGGACATGATGCTTACTGCCACACACAGGGCATCTGTGCACTGGTATGTGGCACGTCAATGTCCCTGTAAGTCAACTACTGTACCCAGTAAGAGTTAGTACATACCAATGGGCTACTCCCAGTGACACACAGTGTCACAAACATTATGGCATTGAGTTTTTTCCCCCCCCTTTATTAAATAAAATTATTTTCATATTATACATATCATATTTTGTTACATTCAAGGTATAGATACAATTTGTATCAACAAGCAAAAGTCAATTCTAGACATTTTTGGCTTAGTTGTTTGCGGCACTTTCAAAGGGAGGGTGGGGGAAACCATTCTGGCCTTTAGGGTGACCTTTCAACAAAGCATTGAAATACTCGACTGGCACATTGAATGTCTATAAAGTACATTGAAAGAGTTTATTTTTAGATTGGAAATTGTCTATTGTCCAGTGAAAACAGAAGTGTGTTAGGGAGAGGGACAACATTGAGATATTTCTAATAAAAAAAAGAGAAAAAATATATAACCCTTTCTATGTAGCTCATGTCTATAATGCAAAAATAAACATACTTATAATGTGGTATTATGTGCTTATAGCATTGTTTAATTAAAGTTATTATGGGACATCAATATTCATAATGCTTTTTGATATTATTCAACACAAATGATAAAGCATTAAAATGACTTAAGTCAAGTAACATAATACTTAATAAATTACAAACTTCTGGTTTTTTACCTTAAAGTTGTATCAAATTGTTATGACCCAGTAAACAAATAAATGAATTTGTAGTGTATCATATCTGATCTCAATATAATGCATTATAACTATGGTAATTATAATATATTAAACCATTTTTTTTTAAAAATAAACTAAACCTTTAGTATTAAAGCAACCAATCATTTAACAGCCACTTGGCTTTGTATTTGACATTCCTCCAATACGTATCATGCCCACACTGCCCATTTAATCTAATGACAGAAGTGCAGGCGATGTGGCACAGTGCCAGAAATATTACCACTCATGCTTGAGAACAAAATCGGCTGTTAAAATTCTATCATGTGCTTGGGTCTTTATGAAAACATAAAGTAATCAGGTTTAAAGGCCAATTCAACAAAATGTATCCAAGTTCATATTGATTAGACATCTTGTCATGGGCACTAAATCACAACCAAGTAATTACTACGCCATAAACTTCTGTAGATGTCAGTGAACATCACTCAATTAACCCCTGGCTGTTTTCATTGTGTAAGATTTGTGCTGTGGCTTACTGTAATGTAGATTCCTAAACACATCAAAGCATCATTGGAGCAATGGACTTTTCCAGTAAACTATTTCACCATCACATGAAACATAATCCAATACCAAATTAAAATCAGGTTTTTAAATCGGCCACGTTGCTGTTTTGTTTAACAGTTATTTCTTTCATCGGTGACAGCATTCTACTAGTACGTCAGTCGTTTTCCACTGATGTTTGTTTTTTTAAATCTATGGCCTTAAACTATCTCGAGGGAAAGGGACGGCACGCAAACTTTTAGCCAAATGCCAGAAACAACCTTGACAGCAGCCTTGCAATCTGATTGTTTCACATGAAGAAACATTTAGGCAGTTTGTTTCACCTTCTCATGAACAGACAGCCGGCCTTAGGTGGCCTCGTCTCTTTTCATGAAAAAACAAAGTCAGCAAAGCCCAGACTCATTTGGGCAAAACACATTCAAATGTTTTTTTTTCTTCTTTATATCTGTTCATAAACCACAGTTGTACCTAAACATTATAAAGATTTTTTTTAAGCACGACCGATGAAAAGAAAGTCAGGCTTACATAGTTAGGCCTGTTAAAGAGTAATACCACTCAGTTTTGCAAAATTATCAGGCAATTTTTCCTCGTAAGCATAAATATTTCCTAAATCAAAAAGGACAGGTTTGTGATGTCATAGAAACATAGTCTGATGCTGCTCCATTGAATACAAATGGGAGCCCATCTTGTGTTTGAGCTCAACATCACTTCCCTCTGTTTTAATGATGTAGCTAATAAAACAGTACATTTGTGAAGTTCAGTCACGCCATCCAATAGTAGGCCTCGAGGAATCATACCTGAATCCTGAAATTAAGTGGCATTTCCCTTTAAATGGAGTAACAGCACGATCTTGCCGATAGGGCTGGCTTTACATGTTACAAACACGGAAAGATCATTAACATCAGAGGGGTTTATCCTCTTGGGAGCATGAATGTGCTCAGCCTTAGTTCTGGTGAATGAAAGTGGTCGGTTTGACCCAATGACATAATGCCACGATTTTAATCCTTAGGCTCCCACTCGTGGATAAAATGTAAAGTTTCATCAAGACAAACTCCTGACAAACAGCGTATTTGAAATAAAATATGGGCACCCATTGCTGTTCCTTTTTTTGGCTGCATGGGCACCCTTACGGACACCAACATTACTTCTTCTGACTAAATCTGCATCACGTAAAGCCATCCTATTAGCCCAATTCTCTACATCTCAAGGTGCACAACAAGGATATACACAAAAAGTACAAAGTTTTGCAATGCCATCTCTACGTTCGAACTGTAAATAACTAGCTTTTAAGGTTCTACATGTTACATGTAGAACGTTCACAAAATATATCAGTACTGGATCAGAGTAGGCCAGTCACCACTATTATTTTGGCAGGGAAAGACTGAAAACTAGAAAATGGAAAGCATCCTGAGAGCAATGTGCAAGGCACAGCCGAACCCTTCCAGGATCCTTGGAGACTGGCTGCATGTATGCGTGCGGTACGTCTGGGTTGCAGCATTTGAGCCTCCCGTAAAAAGCCATACAATAAACGTTATCTTCAACATGCTTTCTAGCATTTTTTATACAATTCTCGAAACTTCATACTCTACACGATATAACAACATGAGTCCAATATTTAACTATATCTGCCAGATTCTTATCATTTTATCTGGCAAACATGAAACCAGGTTAAGATTCAATCATTGAAGCAAACATTTCAAATGCGATAGTAAACACTTTTTCCATTTCTAATAGTACATTTCTACGACGTGTCCCTGTGTAAGTCACACCACAGCCCAGTGAAAGTATTTCTCAGTTTCACTATGTTTACATGCACTTAAGAAACCACGTTAAGGCATTAACATTGGGGAACTTATTTAGATGCACTGCTGTCTGATTTCTATGAAAAAAACAATGACACTGCCACTGATATTTGTTTTCAACTGGAGCATTTCAACCGACAGTATTAAGGACAACAGACAAAGCACATTATTAAACTTAACCACTCACATTGAGAATATGGAAATAAATGTGTTTGTCATAGATTGGATTTTGGATACAATTACTCTAAATGCTATGATTCATGTGCACAAATAGCAATATTGCCTAATCCTGCTAATTACCATTACTTTCCCTCTCCTGGGCACATTAGTACACACAAAATACAATTCTTTATAAAGTGTAATAATGGCCAAATCCCATCAGTAATCTTGCTTGATTAACCAGGTTTCTCTTAACTATTAAAATTGATAAAGGCTTATTTTTTCTTAAGTATGCATCAGAAATCATCAGACTGCTTAAGTGCATGTAAAAGTAGTATTTGAAACTAAATTAACTTGCTCCGGCATTTAAACACACTGCTCCACCGACAACTTAAAGAAGTCCATTAGAGCTACTGTTTGAAACAAAGATACTTTGAATATTTTAACATTGAAAAGAATAAGCACAACAAATTTGACAAATATATAAATAGGAAAATCTTGGATGTAGAATCCAATTAAATCTCAAAGGTAACTATACAGCACACAGTAGGAAATTATCCAAACACAGATTTTAGTTTTACCTTCATCCAATCAATTCTGTGAACCAAAATAATGTAACGTTATGTAGAATACTGACACTATATAAATTCTATCTTTTTTTGGCATTATTTAGCAGCTTATAAATGACTTTGAAATAATGGCTTTTGTGTGATAATATGTACATATATGTGCACATGTATACAAGTCAAATCTAGTTTTTGGCTTCCTGTGTGCACTGTCAAATTCTACCAAAATAGTAGCTTTGTTAGGTGAGGCTGAGAAAATATATCTCTTTAGATACTGAGATAGTGCTTTACATTTGAAAATAGGAGGTTTCAATGACTAAGACTTTCATTGAAACCAATCAGACAATGACTAAAGCGTGAGGTCATTCAGATATAAGGCCATTAAATGTCATAGTTCATGCTGTGAGGTATGCAACTACCTCCCTCTTACTTAGCTTCAAAATAAATGCACAAAAAAGTCACAAGAATTATTTACAGCAGAGGCAGACCTAAGCAAGGATATTTATAGTTCCACTGCACCAGAACACTTTAGATGCCTTTCATAACACATTCACAGGGCCTGAACAAGATCTTCATAAAAGCTACATTGTGTACACATGTCGACATCCTCTTATGTGAGATTTAATAAGGCAAATGTAGGAGATGTTTCTCAGTTATTACTTTCTATCTCTAATACGTTGCCATCACTTGCTCACATTGACATAAGGACAAGGTTAAGTATTAACCAGTTGCCTACATTGGTTATGATGAGATTACGGTAAAGGTTAGGTTGAAATCATAACGGTAAACCAGCTTGCAATCATAATTATGGAACCCCAATTCCAATTAATATTAATTTAATAAAATAATGTATGAATAAAACAAACTATGTGAAATATGTAAATTAACCCAAAATATCAGAACAAATTACAAAATATTAAAGTCAGTCACTATGGAATGAAATTCCTATTATATTAACCCAGTCAGTATTTCAAGTAAAGTGACATGTAACTCCATGCAGATGTTTTTCACAACAGATGTCACAGCCCTCTCAAGATAGCAAGCTCAACAACTGCTAACACACTTAGCCAGTTAGCACCTGATGCCACACAACAACAATGCCAAATGTATCACCTTTTAGACTAGATTTTAGACTGCTGAAGTAAAAACAGAAAACATACACAGTAAATACATCTCTTTAGCTCTTTAGTAGCTCCAATGCTACTCACCTAACTAGCTAGGCTGGGTTTTGAGCTTTGATTATTACTCAACCCAAGTAAAGAGTAAATAGTCAATGTTAGCAGCGTTGGCTTGATTCTGTAGGCTTTGGTTGTCTGAGAGAAATACTTTAAGTCTAGATGCTCTTCACAAAGTTGTGTCTCTTTGGAACGGGGGCTGAACTAACTCTGAATTAACAGGCTAACGTTAGCTGCTGCGTTAACACTGGCTCGTTACTTGCTGGGTAATAATCAAAGCAACATCCTGGCAAGCTAGTTAGCCAGCTAGGTGGGTAGCAGGTGAAGCTTTGTTATGCTAAATAATTAAAAGGAGGAGTTAGTTTCTGTGTACTCAGTTTTATTTAAAAGCAGCTGGTAGATATTTTATTCAGAATGGATTTGAAATTGTTGCTGCTTTAGCTAACAAGCTAACTGGCTAAATCTGGTAGCAGTTCAAAGAGGTATGCGTTTGGCCGAAAGGTCAAAAGGCATGAACACCACAGCAGTTGAAATATAAATGGACATTATGAAAATGTAAAGTTACAGGACATAAAGCGTCATTAGGGGAATGTCATTATGATATAAAAACAAATTTCTTAAAAAGGGAATTAAATTTATAAATAATGTCTACTACATAACGAACATTTACTGTGAAAACAAGCAAGAATTTTAACCGTCCCTTAAATCCTTTGAACAGGTTATTTTTAACAATTTATTCCCTTTTTTTTCAATAACTTTATATACTGAACACACTGGGGCTCCATAAACTATTTTAATTTAACATATCAAATCAACAACAAGACTTCAAGAATTGATCTTATTTTAACAGTCCTGCCAAATGTTAGCAAACTATTCTATAAATGTTATTTCTAGAATGAATGATGCTGAACAAAGGATCAGTTCATTGTTGATCTGGTAAAAAGCTGTTATGCAGCTCCTGCTCAGGTAGTATGAATGTGTTATGAACCAAATTTCTAATAAGTTGTTACCTTCAACTGCACACCACTTCATATAAAAAGTTTTCAAATGTGAAACATTTTACAATTCAAGATAAACTTATCAAACAAACTTTCTCTATGCTATTTACTTCCAAGTCATTTTAGTGATGTAAAATCTAATTTCTCACCCGAGACATTTGAAAAGAAAAAGAAAACTCCTGAGGGCAGATGTTGCACATGAAGTAACATTTAACAAGTGCCTATCTTTGCATTTCAAAACTGTATTTCCCTTTTAACATCACTTCTGAATGTTTAATAAGATTACCTGCTTAATGGCATGACCTCAATTTTGTGACAATGACGGCTGCAAGCTGTTGTGGATCGGTCAAATGAGGGTTTTTCTCCATGACTGAGTGGACAACATAAGCAGGAAAGATGTTACAAAGGTTGCGATATGTTTGATACTGGTGGTCCGGGATGGCATACCGCTCTTGGTGTTCAGCTGCAGAGGGCATCTCCCAAGGCGAATTCCAGATTTGTTCCATTTTGTCTGGCATGCTGCGGACCATCACTCGCTCGCAACACGGCATCAGGCTGTTACTCAAAGGATATGAATGATATCCATAGGACTCATTACCGCAAGGCAGAGGGTCCCAGCTCGCATGCTGCTCGCGGCACAGTGGAGGTCGCCTCTGTCTCATTGGGTTGCTATCATACAGCCTTGAGTCCGATATGCTGTCCATCCGGGTCATACCGAGAGACCTTGTGGGCTGCGAGGACAGAGGTGGGAGGACATTCTGAGTGAGGGGATAGTCTCCAGGACAGCTGGACCTGGCTCCCACCGCAACGTGCTGGATATGTGGTGCTAGACGCGATCCAGGCAACTTCCTGGGCCCCTGCTTGGGTTCCTCAGGGCCATAACTCTGTACTCTAGTCAGCGCTTCATGACGAAACCCATGGGAGAAAGCTTGCATCCTACCCGGTGCGGGAGACTGCTGCTGCCCCTTCATGCCCTCCTCTAAGCTACTGTCCACAGAGCCCTGGTACATGTCCCCGTAAGAGGAGAAGGAGTCACTGTTTGAATGGCTGAGGCAGGACTCAGGGCAGTGGCTGGGATTTCTCTGATACACGCCATGCTCGTGCTCCATGCTACAGAAACTGTCCACGTTATGCATGCTGCCCATGCTCATAGTTGAAAAATCACTGTGCAGTGAATAATATCCATGGTCGCTAACTGAGTCATACTTTGGAAACTGGTCATTGTAAGTTATAGAGGCGCCATGACTATTAGTAACTAAAATAGGAGGGTACTGTACACTGGACATGTGCTCTAGAGAACTGTGCGCAAACTGCAAAGAACCCGGCACTGGGCTGCTGGCTGATCGTGTGTTCAAGGCCCCAGCTGCGTGGCTCTTAACAGGCTGCATGGTGGGCACGCTGAGAGCAGACACAAGGGAAGGCACTGAATTTGCCTCAGACTTCCTAGCAACGGACAGTGCCTCTGGGGGTTCACAGGCCACAGAGCGAATACTGGGGTCAGACTGACGTTTGGGTGCCACCCGTTTGACCTCAGAGATGCTATCCCCCTTAACAGTTGCCGGACCAGTACCACATTTAACTAAAGCCCCCTCACTCATTGTCTTCACCGCAGACAATTTGGCAAAAGCCCGCAGTTCATCAGCGACTGACCGCTGTGGCTGGTTGACACGCTCCGGATGATAGTACTTGCACTTATGTCCATATGTGCACTTTTTCCCTTAAAAGAAAAAGAAAGAGTAGATCATGTCAAGAAAAGTTAACACAGACAAAAAAGCAACAGCATTCAGACATTGATTTTTTTTTTTTAAAACACACATTTAAGGGACTTACCATAGGGGCAAGGTTGTTTTTTGTGCTCTGGAACAACAGGACGCTTGCGAAGGAAATTTTCTAAGCTTGGACCATGTCTTCCCAATGGATCATCAGGCGGCATGAACCTATTCAAAATAGTCATTTAGAAAATGTTATCACACAGCTGCTTTGTAAAGTTTATAATTTGTACTACTCACTTTAAAAGATAAAGAATGTTTGTATGGTAGTGGGGGGGTGGGTATGTCAAGAAAGAATATCTCAAGATACATGACTCAATGAATGACGGTTTCTTACTTGTCATTGACAAATGAGTACATTAGGAGACGCTCTTCTATGAACTTCTTCCACTCTGGTTTCTCATTTTGCAGGTCTCTGTAGTTGTCGTTTGACACAATAATTCCATCAGAATCATAAGACAGCTTCACTATGAAGCGATCATCATAGCACACCACTCTCCTGCCTTGAACTCTCCGAGATGGAGTGAAAACCAGGATCTTCTCTTTTTCCAGCTTGCGTAATATTTCTTGATCTGGAAGAAAGTTTCAAGTATGTTGTAATGTTGTTCATGATAACGCCATCGAAAACAACCAAAAGCTTTTTTCAAATGTATCTTGATTGTAATGCAGGTTATATTATGGAATTTTCTCAATATGTAAAATTATGGGAAGTGTACCAGACCCCCTTTCTTACTATGGTCACACCACAAGGTTATGTTTCCAACATCTAAGAATAACTTAAATAAAGCAACTGCCTTAGAAACAGCTTCACTACCTGTGATGAGGGCATCTGGCCTTGACTGTTCCTTTCTCCAGGCGGGGACAAACACAGTGATATCTTTGTGTCCTTTCTCTAAGAACCATTCAACAGCGAGTTGGATCCCACGGCAAGAGAACACCTCCTTGTTTCCATGGCTAGAAAACAAAACAGTGTGGTATAAGGACTACTTTTACATTGAGAAATGGTCATTCATTGAGGCAAATGTTTCAGAGCGTATGTGCTTGAAGAAAAGACCAACTAAATGTGATTGTGAGTTTGTCAGTGTTTTACCTCATTGCCACATTGGAGCCATCGATGACGATGGGCCTGAGGTTATCAAAGATGTCCGACGAGGAGTCATCTTCCATTGACACCTCTGGACTAACAGTCTCTTTAACACAGGGGGGCCGGGATATTGATGTGGCCGTACTGCTGCAAGGTTGAATTTCAGGTTCTACTTTGTTTCCAAGCCTTACTAACTCAGCAAGGAGGTCGTTGATAAGTGCAGCAGACCCCAGCTTGTTGAGCACTGTCTCTACCTGCTCTCCAGAATAGCCCAACTTCAATGCGAATTCCATCTTAGTCTGGTACTCTCTCTCACTGGCGGGCTTGATCCCGGATCCCGCGCTGGAGTCATCTTCACGACACTCTTGCGCGGTGCTACTCTGGGAAAAACTGGGCCGGTCAAGGCATGGAGAGCGACAGAGCTGTCGATGGGGTTTGGCAACATCCAAGGGCTCCCTCTTCTTACCCCTGCTCACCTGGACCCTCTGGTGTTGCTGCTCTTCGGATTCGCTTTCTGAGCTGCTTCCATCCTCGGAATCATCACTGGTATGCTGGGCCTCGCTTGAGTCAATGTTCTCCTCCCTGCATGGGCGTTTTTCCATTTTGAGCTTCTCCACCATCAACCATACTGTCATCACGTTCGTCTTGACACCTCAGATTTCCACCCCATGTTTTCTCACCTCCGCCGCAACCAAGGAATCATACTTAATGCGGGACCTAAGCGCTACAGGCTCTTTGTGTAGAGCCCAAGAAACACGTTCTCCTTGACGTGGACAGGCTAAGTCAAACTATCGAATCCTGAAAAAGAGCAAAAACAAAGCACAAGCAGTTTCAATCAGTAACATGTGTTCAACTTTAACACATTCAAAATCATAATTTTCCTCGATTCCCATCAAATTGTATTCAAATATTTTTGAGTGTGATGAAAAAGCACTTGAAAGTGTGGTAGACCAAGACACCCTCCACTTATGGGAAACACTGCTATGTGGGCCATGTGACAAAAACAGTGTGGGGAAAAGACTGATCTGAATACATTCAAATGTAGGTCCTCTCTGTCTGACTGTTGTTTTAATGTTTGTGGTTCACAAACGTCCAGTTTAATCTTTTGTTCAGTTTACCTTCTTTATGAGAAACCGGTTAGTTAAATAGTCTGCATTGCTTTCAGTCTATAGCTACATTTCATCTCTCACTCCAGGTCTGAGTGAAATGTATGTTCCACCTACAAAACCCTTGAATTTAAAAAATGTTATCACTTATTATGTACTTAAAGGTAGGGTAGGTAAGTTTGAGAAACCGGCTCGAGATCGCTAGAATTTGAAAATACACAACCGGAGAAAATCTGCCACTTCCTTATAGAGCCCCTCCTCCAACACACACGAACGCACACATGACCAATGAGGGCACGAGATAAGTTTGTGCCCCGATGGAAGGCTGACAGGCAGGTAGGCCATCCAGTTATTTTAGCCGGGCCGGCTAAAATGATTGGTCGTACTTTTTACAGTATTACGGCTTCCACAGATGACATTTTGTTATGGATTTTTTGTCAAAGCACATAAGATATTCATTGCTATCGGGATGTTAAGAGCATTCCATGGAATATAACAAAAAGTGTATCTCGAGCCGGTTTCTCAAACTTACCTACCCTACCTTTAATGCATTAAGTTGTAACTGAATTTAGCAACGCATCTGCTCTAGTTGTAGTACAGTAGTAATTATGCAGTGAACATTTTACATACAACCCCAGTGTTTCCCCTACCATTGTCTTGGAGGGGCGCTGCGCCCCGCCAACGGAGCCCCGCGCCCCCCCTGAAATAAAAAAAATAGAAAAAAAAAAAAAGAGAGAAGGGGGGGGGGAGGAGGAGGGAGGGAGGGAGGGAGGGAGGAGGGAGTGAGGGATGGAGGGAGGGAGGGAGGGAGGGAGTGAGGGAGGAGGGAGGGAGGGAGGGAGGGAGGAGGGAGGGAGGGAGGGAGGGAGGGAGGGAGGGGGGAGGGAGGGAGATAGATAGGAGAGAGAGAGAGAGAGGATAGAGAGAGATATGAGAATGAGAGAGAGATATATATATATAGATATATAGATATAATATATATATATATATTAAGATATATATATATATATATATATATATATATATATATAGCACCAAATTGCAACTAATCTATAACTACTGTCACTTTTCACATTGAACATGTGCTCTTTTATTAAATAAACTAAACGCTTTCATTTTAAGTTGTGAGTTTAGTGTTTTTGACCCTAAGAAACACTGATGCATTAATCAATAACAATAATCCACAGCTCCTCTCTCTGCTCCAGAGGATTTAAAAAATATATATCCCAGTGCCACCCCCCACCCCCACTCAGGCAGCACCCCCCCCAAAGCAGTAAACTTAGGGGAAACACTGCAACCCTGAACAGAATTGTTATAATTTAATAATGTTAAATGGCTATAGCATTAGTGTGAGCCTATTACAGAAATGCACTGGTACTTTTCCACAATAAATGCACAAAAGGAAACTCACTGATCTTCTCCTGCTTGTAGGTGCATTATTGAAAATCTAGATACAACAGATAGCTCAGTCAGTCTCCACCTGACTTCCATGGAAACCCCCAGTCTTCCTGCAGAAAACGTGCTAATGTGCTGCAGTACAACCCTCGCCTTTATGTGCCCTAAAGCCTGTGGTCTTGCAAGTAACATTCAGGCCAGATACACAGGGGGTAAGTGCATGAGTTACCATAACCTGAGACTAAGTGTGGGCTGAACAGTGTATCCCTGCGCCTCCAGCCCTCTGACAGACAATCTCAATTGAACAGAATTCCTCAGAGAACAAAGCAGGACTGCAGCCTGCAGTATATTAACACCCAACACTGTCAACAGCAACATTTTCACATATAGATTTGGTTATCAAATAATCTTAATAGGAAGTGTATTATGAGCAGAAACACTAGACTTTTCCCCCATTCTTGCAGAGAGTAACATACAGCCAGCTTCGAGCTTCAAGAGACGCAGCCCATGATGTGTGTTGCTTAGCAACACAGCCTTGTCATCAGCTAACTCCTTTTTTACCAGTCACGACTAACACAAACACAGCTCATCATCTCTCTTTAGGCAGTCAGTAAAAGCAGAACACTTGCAGCTACACTACAACTCTACACTAAAACTCTTGAGGCAGCATATTCTACAATAAAAATAACATTACATAGCAATACTATATCACTGGCAACGCCCTCATCAGTTAGTACACAATATATTCATAGAGAACTGTGAAGGTTAATAGATATTTTGAGGGTTGATCTATGGCTACAAATACATACTATTATTATTGCATGTGTGCACACTATCCTACTGCTCATCACAACTTGTATGACAAGGATGGAAAACAAACTGAGGTCTTGAAATGTTAAACAACTAGCTGAAAAAAGTGGGATATTGAGTAACTTTTGTGGACCTCACATACACCACCGCAATGTAAGACATTTTACATTAATACAGGGAGCAGAGCTCTCCCAATCCTTTGCTGTCCACCTCCAGATTCAAAGACTCAGACTCAGCAAGGCCTCCAGACTATCTCTGCACATGCACAAGCTTGTGTGCTGCTGTTTCATAGCAACAAGTAGAACATGTCCCTGAGGCCATCTTTTACATTGCTGACCCTACATAGTATCCAGTATGGAGCAGGGATAAACTGCATTTTGGTCAGTGCTGGTTGCATGTATAACTTGGTTAGTTAGATATCTTCAATAGCGATAAATGTTAAGTCTATGCCTACACCAATGGACAAAAGTGTTCCAGTCATTATTTTATATGAGACAGACCAATGAGAGAATGGCATGCGAGTGTTACTGTGATAGCACAAAGTGTGAAAACGCGTGGCTCCTGCAACACCTAATCAGTGTGTTCTGCCTTAAGGGCATGTGAAATGTATCTGGGACTAGAAATAACTTCTCAGCTGAAAAGCACAAACGCACATAAACAATATTCTTGATTTTCAACCAAGGGGAAGTCATGTTTTGCTGTTTACATTGATCAGACGATGGCACTATGCTCCCATCTCACTGTAGACAAGTGACATCTCTACTGCTAAATTGGGAGTTTGAAATGCTGTCTGTTATACACACCACATTTTTGGAGGGCATGTTAGCTCCAAAATCCTCTATATGAACTTGGTAGATGATCTCTTACATTGTGTCAAGCGAACACTTCACAAAGAAAGGCAGATGTTACGTGGATCAATCATAAATATGTACACTTGTTACTGAAATGTGATGAAACAGTCTTGCTTAAAGTCAAGCTGGATTAAGGAAGGCAACATTTAAGTCAAATTAAACCCAGTTAATTTTAGAGTACCGGGCAAATGCATTATTACAATTCGTATTATAGGTTCACAAACGGGCCAATCAAAAAAAGGAAAATCAAGAAGATTGCCTCACACTACAAACACATTGATGCACAATAAATTAGCATTGATTATATCGTATTAATGAATGAATGCATGACTAAGAAAAGATGGATAAGACTCCAAAAAACTAATTTCTTTAACATGATCGATATGCCATACTCATCATACTACTGAATGTCGTAAACAATGCAGTATGTTTAATTTGCTCTATAGTGTGAGCTTTTACTTATTTGAAGTTTCACCTCTCAATAATTTGGTAGATTTTTAAGTAGAATTTAAAGTTTCAAAAAAGTAATTAAATAATGTTTGGGTTGCTGGAATTATTTCAAGGTTAAACAAAAAGGAACATTTCCCTTTAGAAGGGTTAATATAACAATATACAAAAAGAAGACTGAGGATTGAACTAAATTCTCATTATTCAGCCAGTGTTGCATTGACTTTACAGCAATAAACCAAAAACGTGCAACCAAATTTAAACACTGCATTGGTCCCTACATCACAATGACAGTGACCACACATTGACGCTCCTGAAGTGCTGAATTAACCTAGGTGGACTGTGATACTGCATTCATCATCTAACGTTAACTATGGACACGTCAATAGAAAAACTGAAGTGCTTATATCGTTAGCATCATGAGTTCAGAGGGATGAAATGGAGGTTAAACAATACGACAGTAAAATATATATACTTACAATATACTTTTAAAATAACGTTATAACATAGGAGCTGCACACGATGTCACCGATGTGATTGAGTGTGATTTAAGAAAACCGGTGTGACAGTGACATCCTCGGGCCCAGTGTAACGGTTAGCACACGCTAGCATGCTATTGTACCGTTAGTTTGCCAGCTGGAGAAGGAACACATTAGCTACGTAAACTAACCGGCCTATTTCGCTTTCTTTGTTAAAATGTTAGAGAGCGTAGATAGCTAATATTCCAAGCTAACGCTACATTTCAATTGTATCATGCAACACGGTCTCTTTTTAGTTTACGGTAGCAAAGCTAAGTAATTAGCTTACCTACAGTAATAGCAGCCAACTCAGTGGCTCCACAGGCTGCTTGCTAACATTAGTTAGCCTTAGCTACTGAGCGTGTGCTTATATTTTTTTGCCAGAATACTACTGTAACTTGAGATAAAGTTGACGACCATTTCCTATTTTAAAACGGAGGCAAAACTACAGCAACGCCACATTATTCCTTCACAATCTGCACAGTTATCACGACTATCGTTGACATCAAACGGAGCTCATCTCACCTTGTTGCTGTCATCCTCCTCGCCTGTAACAGTTATGTTTTGCTGCCATTGGCGCTGTCGCAGTTTGGATAGGGTTGCCAGATAACACGAAGGAAACAAGTAACCTCAGCGGTGAAAAGACACCGGGGTCGGAACATTATAAACTGCCCCCTCCTCTCTTTGTGGCTTTTAAGAACATTTCCAGTGGTGGAAATTGAACTAAGCACATTTGTTCAATACGTTTTAGTAATTTGTGTCATACTTGTACTTTACTTGGGTACTTTATTCCTGTTTTATGTGATTCTACTGTATTACATTTTGGAGACACATATTGTACATTTTACTGCATTATGTGTACAGTAACTAGCTACTTTTCACATATAAAACCCCTTGATATGCTTATATAATATGATGTAGTGTAGTACTTGCTCTTACATCTTTTTATAAGCAATAAAACCAGATGTTCTATTATAATATCATTCTTTAAAAAGAGCCACTGCACATAAGTACTTCAACTTTTGATACTTTAAGTACATTAGCTGCATAATACTTATGTACTCCTACTCAAGCCACCTTTTGCATGTACAGGAGTATTTGAATACCACTTCTTTCACAACTGGATATTTATGAGATAAGCAAAATCAGACAATAAACATAAATTCAATTTTTTTTTAGCCCTCAATAGCTAAACAAACTCAGTCCTAATTAACTAAATGACTTGCTCCCTACTACTTCTACTGACTAATCCTCACTGTGTTTGAATAGAGGAGCCTGATGGAGCAGATCATTGTATTTAAACTTCAGCTCCACAATATCCTTGTAAAAGAAAATGAACAAATGGAAGAAAATATGTCTAGTCATGTTTATTTTAATATAAGGCAGTGTTCTATTCTGACAAAACAGTAACAGAAGTTCAAGAGGTATCCCCTAATGTAACATGGGTGTAACTTAATTTTAAAAAAAGAAATCCAAAACAACAAAAGAAAACTCAAATAAAAGGAAAATTGCCAATTTGTAATAACCAGTCAGAATACAATGTTACAGTGTACAAATTGAGAATATAAATACAAATTATTTGACATGTTTTCATTAATACACTATAAAAAACGACATCTGGAAGTTTGACCTTGGACTGATCAAACATCAAATGCACGAGAAAATTATACATGAAAATACAAGTTTGTCTGTTGACATTTCATAATTCTAAGAAAATCCAAAATTCATTCCACAATCTTATAGTAATGCAATAAGTGAGTGCATCAGTTCAGTGAGAGTTGTACCCTTCTGGTGTTGAAAATGAAAACAAAACAGCATTCACAGTAAGGCCAAAAGGGGCTTCTCAGGACACAAGTAACACATTAAATGTGAGACTATTAGGTCAAACTTGTTTTATTTGTCTTCCTTGATTTGTTTCCCCCTATCATTTTGTATATATATATATATCTTGCTGTTTCTTCAAAGTGTCATGTAAAGCACTCTCATACACCGGGTAACTATATGTGATATTTAGAATAGAAGTAGTAGAAGTTGATATGCCTTGTAAAGCTATCTAGAGTATGTAAAAGAAGGAGCAGCTGAAGTTAAGATTCATGAAGTATCAGATCATCTTTACATCTCCAATACGTGCTTATCACATTCTGGGTTGGAGGGGAAGAACTAGCTGTGAGATGTTTTAAGATTAAGCCAAAAAAAGCTAAATGTATTTCATATATACCCCCATAGAGGTATTTAGAAGAGACATATTTTCTTATTGTGGATCGACAAATCAACATAAAGCTCACAGGAGGCTGTTAAAAAGCAGTAAACATAAGCCGGCACTTAAAGCATACATGTGTTTCAGGGCTGTGATAAAGAAACCAGGATAATAACCATTAAATAACATAAAGTGTTGCATTACTATTGAGACACTGAGGCTACATACAGGGAACATTCTATTCAATAGCTTAATGAGATGAATCTGTGAGCATTCTTAATGAAAAAGAAACAATTACTTGCTCAGTCACTTTCAATACACGGACATGTACGTGGCCTGTGCGAAACAAGCAACTGTTACTGTGCAAATGCAGGAAATCCCTTTTGACTTCCCAATGAGACAGCCATGTACTTAATGCAGCATGATGGCACAGGCAGAACATTTACAATTCATGTCCTGTCAAATAAACCCACTGTGCAAGTAAAAAAATTAAGCAACAATTTATCTTTTGGATGTAACATGAAAGCACTCATTAATAGCACAAACACATGTGATCCCAATGCCAATGTCAATTATAGGTTGCCTCTGGGAGTTTGTTGCCGGCCACATCCCTGGGTGTTCTTGTTTCACTGAGGACGGCCATATCATCATTAAGCCCCCCTGTGTTCAGAAGACTCCCAGTATGAGATGCTGCGTCCACTGGTCTGCTTTTCCCACACTTATTGTAGGAATGCAAATGAGTGGCAGCTTTACAAAAAACATCCTCATCTACATCGTCTGATTCACCATCCATCATTCCAGAATAAAGAAAGGTGCTATGAGGTAAACAAGAGTCTGCCTGTGACGGAAGGTGCTGCTGCCTGTTGTTCTGTGAATTCAAATCACAGGACACTTTGTCTGACACCTTAGAGCAAAGTTGCGTTTTACTGCTGGGAGATTCGCTGCTGGATGAACTCGACATTATTTTGCGTTTGACTTGGGTTTGACTGAGACTCTGTACTTTTTCAGTGAATCCCCCGTCTGTGAGAGGAAGGCTTAAAGCCATTTCTGATCTAGTTTGCCAAGATAAGGCCATAATGCTGCTTCTGTCTATAACCTCGGATGCAGACACAAGTACATTCCTCTTGTAATATGTTGAGGAGTCTGTTTCACTTTGAGGAGAAGCAACGATAGCAGCTCTGTTCTCTCTGTATGTGTCAGGCATCTTCAAGTCAAGGCTCTCTCTGTCCAGAGACCTACTTCTCCTGTCCAGAGACGATGCATTAGGCATGGACTGACTGACTCTTGTAAGGCCAAGGTGCCTTGGGAGACTAGCAATTGCCCATGTGTTACTGATCAGGTTCTGTTCATACATGTCTAACATTTGATAGTCACATTCGGCAAATGCATCTTTTTGTAGGTAGCTCTCCTCAAAATCCTGATAGGGCGATGAGATGTCCTCCTCCAGTTCCATGTGGATCTGCTCGTCATATTCACCCTCATTGTGCATATCCACTACATCAAATGTGACTATGGTAGGTAAGGCCTGCATATTTGAAGTGAAGGCAGAGTTTGTCTCCAAATCGTCCCCATCGTTGTGCAAGTTACTCAGCATCTGAGAGTGCTTTGTGTAGTCCACAAGTGCTTGAGAGAAACACACAGTTTGCCCATCATCTGAGTCGTTGATATAAACCGCAGATTGAGAACTGATGTTTTTATACGGCAAAGCCACAGGCTTGTTTTCCTCAAGATGCTGCTCTTTGGGTTCACAGAATGTTTCAAAATCTGGGTCGGACGTGCTGCCGAATGAAACGCTGCTGTGCCGTTTCTCACGCTCAGCGTTTACAGATTTTGTTATTTTTTCACTGGAAGCAGGAGACATATTTCCCTTGTCCTCAAACACATTGGGCTCTGTATTATTCTTATTGGCTGAATCTAAATTACAGTTTTTGTTTCTGCCGATTTCCTGCCGACCCATCGCCTTTTGTGCCGACTCCGAGGATCTGCTGCATGTGCTCGGCCTTTCTGGAAAACCGTGAACTTCATAGAGTTGGCCACTTATTTGTAATCGGTTCATGTCTGGAACAAAGGCAGAATCTGTCACATCAACCGGCTCACTTAAATATTGTTTTGAACCAGGCAGCTTTGATTTGTTTTCATAATGTGGACTGATGAGACTCTCATCAGGTGCAAAAAGTTCATAAAGGGCATCACCGCTGTAACTGTCCCTGGGTAATCTCTCTCCCCTCAGTCTGTCAGAGCTCTCCTGTCTGTCATCTGGCCCGGGGGTAGTTGAATCATAGTAGCCCTCATCACTAGTTGGTACTGATTCCTGATGCTCGCTTTGAGGAGTCAACACATCAGCCATGGAAGAAGCGTCCATGCCACTGGCTTGCTGTGCACTGTTACTGTTCAGTAAGTCCATATTGTGAGAACTTGTCAGGTCAGCAGTCAAATCTGTGATATCTTGGTTGCAAGTATAGCACATTTCTTCTGACGCAGTATTTCCCCAGAAATCCTGAAGACACTCTCCATCCAAATCTTCAGGTGAGGCCATTTCTTCGCCGCCACCCTGATAAGTAAGATAGCAAGAGGCCCGCTTTCCTCCACTTCTGCTCCTCTCTCCAGACACGGTGCTCTCTGTGATGCTGTCGTCTTCTTGGTCTGCGATAATGTCCCCACAGCCAGTGAGAGAATCAAAGCTTTTTAATGATGCCACGTCTCCATAAATCATGTTTAGCTGATCTGATGAGCCGGTAGGTGTTTCAGACTTCAGCAACGACTCGGACATCGTCTCGAGTTTCAGACATGGCTCGCTGTGTCCTCGTGAACTTTCCTTCAATTCACTGAAAACTACGGCCATCAAACTCATTTCCTCCATTTCATTATCACATGTCTCAGCACCAAGCTCGGATTTGGGGCTGTCTTGCTCCACACCCTTCTGTGAAGACATCTCAACAGCATCAACACATTCAGCGCCAATGGACAGGTCACATGAAACATCTGCAAAATCAGGCACATCAGGTTCAGACTCCAGGCACTCAGTGACATACTGCTTGGTGTTGTCCTGGACAACAGGCACCTTTTTTTTGCAGCGAGGAGAGGACATAGCAATCATTTCAGGTTTATCCGATCCAGCATTTCTGTGGTTTCTGTGATACCTAAAACTTTGAAAAAGACTCCTGAAACCCCTTTTCTGACGGGTGAGTGATTTCTGGTCAGCACCCAGGTGACTACATTCATTGTGACAACTACTGTGGAGCTCTCCAGCAGAGCCTCTTGGGTCGTGGCACACTAAATCTCCAGCTGAGTTGTACCCACTTCTCAGATTGTCATCATGACTAAGATTACTCAGCCCATCATGTGTTCTGCTTTTATTGATTGCTTTCTTAGAAGACCACTTGCTCAGATTTTTACTCCTTCCTCCAAAGAAATTAGGTAAAATACAGATATTTTTACGAACTCCGAAAAATGTCAGGGCAGTTCTCCTAAATTTCCCAGATTTTTGAGATTTCACCGTAGTATTCATAGTGTCCAGCTGAGGCTCTTCCATGATGTCATCGGGGCCACATTGGGACATCTCTGCAGAGACGGAAGCCAAATCCTTGCTGTCACTTGGTAGCTTAGCTACCTCACGAGAAGCCATGGCTGCTAGGTTCACAAAAGCAGTCAAACAGAAGGCATGGTAGCTGAATGTTCTGAATTAGCCGACAGGATCACTGCAGCTGTTTTCTCCTCCATCTGCTAGGACCCCTGTTTTGAGAAAAATGTAATCAAATTTAAAGTCTTACACAAATATATAAAATAAACAATCACACTGCCGACTTTCAACATTTTTAGAAAAGCTGTTGGAATTTCTGATAGCAAGATGTATAACTGGGCTGCCAGCCATTACAAATGTACTTTTGCCTTCTACTAGTATATTATTTGATACCAATTATTGCAGATTGTAATAAAACAATTAAACGGTAAAAGTAAAAATAAAAAGGTATTTCCATGTCTGAACCAACAGGCTAACACGATGTTGCCATTTTATTTTATCTTTAAATGTATGCAAAGGGACGTAATTATTTCTGATTCCTTATTACTTAAAGGTGGGGTAGGTAATTCACTTCAGAAACACTTTTTGTTATATTCCATGGAATGCTCTTAACATCCCGATAGCAATGAATACATTAAATGCTTTGACAATAAATACATTAAAAAATGTCATCTGTGGAAGCCGTGGTGCTGTAAAAAGCACGACCAATCATCTGAGCCGGCCCGGCTAAAATAATTGGATGGCCTACCTGCCTGTCAGCCTTCCATCTGTGCACAAACTTATCTCGTGACCTCATTGGTCATGTGCGCGTTCGTGTGTGTTGGAGGAGGGGCTCTGTAAGGATGTCTGAAGGAAGGGGCAGATTTTTTTCGGCTGCGTACTTTCAAATTTTAGCGCACTCGAGCTGGTTTCTCCATTCTTACCTACCCTACCCTACCTTTCATATTATTTTAATTAAAGAAAATACAAATTGTTCTCCAAAAATAGAAAACCTGATCAGTTCCAGAAATCAAAAGTACTTTATTGAGCCCTGCTCACTCTATATACATCTTAGCAATTATTTTGCTAAGAAAAGGAATATAAAAACATACTTGTAGTCAAATAACACTGTTGTGATTTTGTTGATTAAATCAACAAATCTGAAGAACTGGGTTTCTCCCACAAGAATCAACCACTAGACCAAAACAAACGATTAGTTGGAAAATTAACTTAGAGGGGGCAGTCCAACCTTATAGTAATAAGAGGTGAAAAAAGTACTTTAATATTGTAATTGAGTAAAAGTAGAAGAATATATGTAAAGTATAGGCATACTCTGTTACAACTAAGGCTGCAGCCACACAAGAACGATAACGGTCGTATCCGCTACAGTCCAAGGGTGTAACTTTGGTTTGAGAAGTGGGGGGTCCTCCGCAATGAAACATTGTTCTCGATTTAATTCCATTTCCTGCCTTTCTACAAATATATTAGGGACTATCGTGAACGGACATGTTTCTGATGCCTATTGCGTGTGGACGGAAGACTTTTTTGATTTGAATTTGGTTCGTTTGGGTTACCGTTCTCGTGTGGCTACAGTCTCAAAAGCCGCTTTCACACAAAGTACTTTGCCGTACTTAGTTCCCAGCACTTAGTTCCCAGCACTTAATTCCCCCATGGAACTAAAGAGCAGATCGCGCTCACACCGGAATAAGTCCCTGAGGGAAGATTACGCAAATGAAGCCGCTGACGTCACTTCTTCCCAGGAACTATCGGAACTAAAAGGGAAAAGTACGGGGAAAAGTACTCCGGTGTGAAAGGTCCTGCAATCAAAATGGTACTCAAGTAAAAGTACTCATCATGCAGATTATATGTTTCGATAATAATGTTGATGCATAAATGCTTTTTTCAACGCTGGTAAAAGTGCAGCTAATTAGATTACTGTATACAGTGCAGGGGGAATTTTACTCCAGGTGTAACTTAAATCCGATTTAAGTGTTTATTATATTTCACATCATTAATCCAAATCTGCAAAGTCTAAACAAAGGTATTACATATATGTAGTGTAGTAAAAGTACAACATTAACCTATGTTATAATAATTGTATTTGGGTAGAAGTACAACCACAATTTTGTAAATAAATGTACTTAGTTACTTTACACCACAGATAGTGTTGTAGGCCTACATCTAAAAATACGAAAATTCCAGATAAAGAGAAAAACAGACTAAGGTAACGTAAGTAGATAACAAAACTGTAACATTGTGCCTTTATATTAGCATGTTAAAGCCCAGGGGATAAAGCAACAGGCTAATATTGGAGCTGTAACAATGAGCCCCTGACGCTCTGCCACAATAAAGACCAGCGGTGATAGGTGGGTCAAAATACCTCCAAAATATACTTTTAATGAAAGCCTTAGCAAAGATAATACACAATAGCTAACATTGAATAGTTTACAACCAACACACCGGGTTCGACACGGTCACTTTCCTGTAAATTCAAACTAAATGGCACATTAGCAAGAGAGGAGCGAACCGAGTCGTAAGGTAAACAAACTTACCGACCGAAGCCAGAATCCTGCAGCCCAGAGCCGGTGTTGGGTTTTCACCGGGAGAAGAAGTTAGCTTTCTGCTAACTTTAACTTACTGCTGAAGGCGAGTGCTCGACTCGGGCCCCGGAGTAGCTTTCACCAGATACGGTTTCATTTGTTCCCAGCCACTGTTAGCTAGCCGGGGTGCTTGCTAACAACGTAAAGCCCACAAAGTGCAGTAGTGGTTGTAGTGTGAGTCTGTTGCTAACGATGGCTGCAGCACATCGCAGTAAAACTGTTCCGTTTAAATTCGCATAATTTGTGAACACTGAGCCTGGTTTAACCACGCATGCCAAATTTACTTATACCTCCGCAAAAAACCCCAGCATGCGTTGAAATGCTGGGTGATGATTCTTTTCCCGACTTCTCAGGTAAAATGTACCCAAATCTCCTTTCGTGACTCGGCGCATGCTAGTGACGCAACATGTGATGAAATATCATGCATTGTTCATTTTTGCACATGACATATAAAAAAATACATTATTCTTATTGATTAAATATACGTGTGTATAACTCTTTACATAATAATATCCCAATGTTCTATAATTGTGTAGTATTAATTATGGTTTATGCCATTTATCTTTTACTCTTAACATTATTGTGCATTTAATTATTGTATTAAAATTAATTTTTGTTTCACTGTACTCAAATATTCAGTACGTGTCTGTAATATTAAAATGCCTTTTCAACCGTACAATTAAACACAACAATGATAGTGATCTTAAAAAAGAAATACAAAATTATAAAAATAATAATAATCCGTTTTACACATTGTATCAACATTTGTTATGGTATGGGTAAGGGATCCTGGATTAGGGGAAATCGTTTACATTTACTTGTGTTTTGAGAAAAAAATTCAGACTGATATCTCATCATTTATTTTTAAATAATATAAACTTTATTTATACTTCAGAGCAACATTAGAAAATGGAAATACCAGTGATGAAGACATGTACACAACAGTAAAGACATTTTAATTAAATAAATTACCAAAAAAATAAATAAAAAATGCAAATGTAGGTATAGAAAATTGTTAGGGGGGGCTTAACTGCCTTATCATTCAGAGAAGAAAAGGTTATTTCAATTTTATTTTTGACATTGTTCAAGACAACACATTATGGGAGTTTGCTTCTGAGGAATTTCGTGTTATGGATAGGATATTTAGCTAGAAGCGTGATAGAGTCGTCTCTGAAATCATTATAACCAGAGATAACATTGTCAAACGTCAAGGATGTTTTTTATCTCTTGGAATACTCACAGCTTCAAAACAAGTGAAACAAGTCTTCAATATGAAGGTCACAGAAGGAGCAGGAAGAGAAAAAAACGTACGATGGACCATTTTGTTTTGTGATAAAAAACGAGGGAAAGAAATATATATAAAAAAATCTATTATTAAAATAATTGTCTTATTTACAATTATTATACATATATTTACAGAAAGTCTAACATGTTGTCTTTGTTACACACAACTCAATATGATGCCCTTTCAAAATTAGGTAAAACTTTGCTACAGTTAAAATTGTGACCCGGTTCAACATCTGGTATTAATTTAAATACAGTGCAATTTTGTGATCCCTGCATACAAGCATTTAACTGCTTGCTTACCCTTGTACTTTTTCAAATACTGTTTTTCAATGTGCTTTCAATTGGTTTTGGTCCTCTTCATTGTTGGTCTTCTTGCAACCAAGTTTCCCTAATTTTACTCAACATGTTTGTTCCATTTATGTCTTTGACTGCCGGACATCGGTCCACTCCATTTTGGTGTTTTGCAGCGCCTGAGTCTTCTTCTCATCCACCTGCACATAATCCACTCTGTGCTCATCACACAGTAAGGGCTTCTGCTGGACGAAGAGAGGGAGAGACAAAGAAAGTGATATGTTACCAATCTGAATATGGTTCTGCTATATTTGCCCAAACAAGCAATCATGTTGAATTGAATGTATTTAAACTATTTGCGTGTGTTGTATAAGCCTTGATATATAAATCTTGTGGGATAATATGCTAAGATCATGCTTTTTATATTGCAAGTGATGTTGTGCACATATAAAACACTTGGAAATAAAAGTAACTTCTCATGTTTCAACATATGAGCACTTGTTGACGTTCGGGTCAGGTGACAGGTTAAAATTCATCATATATGATGAATTTTAACCTGTCACTTTCTCTATGCACTATAGTGCACTATAGTGCATAGAGAAAGTGCAGCAGAGAGCAGCTTCCTAAAAGGCTAAATTGTTTTTAAAAAAAATTAAGACTTCCACCAATGTCTATAGTTATTTTTTCCCATAGCTTTGGGGCATAATGAACAAAGGCTGCATCAACAATCTTCTTTTTGCTGCTGTTTTTGGGAGCCTCTAACAAACCAGCAGCAGAGGATCGCAGTGTTCTTCACGGCTTGAAGCTGACAAGGGAGTTGGCAATATAGCTTGGTCCTTGCCCATTAAGGGCCTTATATGTCAGGAGGAGGACCTTCAAATCACTTCTAAAGTAAACAGGAAGCCAGTGCAGAGCGGCTAAAACTGGACTAATGTGTTCTCTCTTCTTAGTTCTGGTTAACAGCAGAGCTGCAGACTTTTGGATGAGTTGAAGTCTGTCAGTAGTTTTTTTCGGGAGGTCAGTGAAAAGTGAATTACAGTAGTCTATCCGGCTTGAGACGAAGACATGTATCAGCTTCTCAGCGTCTTTCTGATTTATGAATGGTCTTACTATAGCAATGTTTCTAAGGTGAACGAAAGATGTTTTTGTCACATTGCTAATGGGAGAGCTGAAGCTTAGATCTGAATCTAATATAACACCAAGACTTGTGACCTCTGGTTTGATCCTGAAGTAAATCTCCCCAGATTATTAACCAGCATTTCTCTTTTTGCTTTGGATCCGACTAGCAGGATTTCAGTTTTGTCCTCATTCAGCTTTAGGAAGTTACTGCTCATCCATTTATCTATCGCCAATAGGCAGTTGGTGATGGAGGTAATAGCTGCAGCGTCATTTGGTTGGTATATATAGAGTTGTGTATCATAGACATAGTTCCCCAAACGTCATCCAGTGTTCTGGTCCCAGCTGTGTGCATCACTTTTTAGTATCCCCGTTTCCGTTGTGTTTTGTCAAAGATAGTTAATGTGAGGTTTTAGCTGTTATCTCTCGACTGTGACTTCATTTGTTTCCAGATTGCCTCAGAAACACTCAAAGCGCTTCATTAGGTTGGAAGGGACATTACAAAGTGAAAAAAGTGACACTAGCAAGTCTTTTCCAGGGAAGAATAATCAGGAAGTCTGTTATTATGTTTAGAGGCTCATTGGTGCGAACGTATTTTTTATATTCCTTATGTTTTGTTCTATTTCATAATAACAATTTGGTTCATTTTTGTCTTTAATCTGATCCGAACATACCTTCAGCACAGGAGAGGGGGATGCGGAATTGAAATCAAGTGACAAATAGTCGAGGTTTGATCTTCTCGCTCCATCGAAGCTGTGACTGAAATGTTGCCTTGGATCCTGTCGGAGAAAATAAATACATTGAGACGGGTAAAAGGGTCTGAATATATAATGTATTTCCATCTTTTCTACAGTATTACTACTCATTCAATAAAAAGATGGCCTTAAACTTAGTTTTCAATTTCTGGAAAACATTGAAATCTACTTGTTTCCAGAGTGCAGCTGGTCAGCATGTGTTTGTATGACTGGAGAGATACATGACTATTATGCTTCGCTTCAGATTTGTTTCTTGGAAAATCGATTACATATGCACCGTTTCCAAGAACTGCCTTGTACGACATCACATGGTTACTCACAACCCAGTACATTTACAGTATGCTGAGCAGAATTCTCAGTAAACATCTAATCTGCGTGGCGATTAGAGCACATTTTACAACCCAAATATTCCTACAATTGTATCAGATTTAAATATTTTGTTAGTGTTCTGTTTAACAAAAATGAGCAGAACGATGAAGTTGATATTAAAGTCAACAGTGATTTAAGGATTTCCACCCAAATATTGGATATTAATCAGATAAACATAAACACATAATCACAATTTGATAACACATTGATCTACATTATGGTTTGGAAAGTGGCATCAAGTTGAAGTGGATGATTGATACAACTTACATGACTATGAGCTGGCATAAAGGTGGGCTGAATTAATAATGCCACACAGTGAAAGTAAATGACCATCAGAGCTACTTCCATTTATCAGTTATTATTCACAATGGCTAAGTGAAAGGCCTCATTAAGTCCCTGATGGAAAGAAAGGTGATAGCATTCGTAACCCTCCTGTCGTGTTCAGGTCAAATCTTACCGATTCACTACTTTCATCAATCATAAATATTGTGTTTTACATCTGATTGCCTCAAGGCCTTATGATGTCCTCCACAGTAGGCATTTGAACACATAACACATTACTTATCACCACTTTCATTGGGTTTTTAGAGGTTTAGTCAACTTCATCTATTGTGTTCCCACTTCAAAAGTGACAAACAAATTGACAACCATGTTCATTTTGGAATACATTTTCAGTGTCTATTCTTTTTATATTCACTGCAGTTAGTTATGTAAACCAGTAGTCAGAGACATTGTTTACAGCTTAAAAGGGTGTTAAATCAATTCGGGTGATGATTTTCTTGTGTATGTGTTAATGTAAAAGCAGTTGAAACAGACCTGTCAAATTTGCCCGGGAACCCCACAGTAAGGGGGGAGAAACGAACACGACAGGAGGGTTAAAAAGGCATGATCAATACACTCTACTCTATCATCACTACATATACATGGTTAAAATAGTTTTCACGCCTTCACGATAGTTACCATTGTGGTGCAGTTTGTGTCTTCATCTGTTGGATTTTCCCCATTCTCAAGTCTTCTTTCAAGAGGCAAACATTTCACCGAAAAGCTACACATAGAAACAAAATATTGTTTCATGTCAGAAACCAACCACAAACTGTATGATAAATAGAAACTGAGAAACAGGATGTTATCCTTGGTTCGGGTCAGCATATCTACAACCAACGTAAATTAACATAATTAAAAGGTAAACCTTACTCTAAATGAGATGTAATTGTTAATCAATGGCAGTCCCTGAACCAAACCACATAAACAATCGTGGTTAAAGAGATTGTTTTCCTCTCACCATGCTTCAGTCATTGCTCTGCTCAGAGGAAGATGAGTGGGACATTCTGTGATGGTAGAGAGGCCTCTCAAGTCGAGAGGTGGAGGTCGAGCTGTGAACCCAGAAAGTAATTGGACTTGTTGTAATAGTGATGCGTAGAAAGGATCATTGTGTGTAAAATAAAGATATCTAAGACATTGCTTTAGCCTAGCCATGCAGGAAGGAAAGGAACATTACATTCTACATTTGTAAACCTTGTTAAAACTATAACAAAGACCAAATCAATTATCCCAG